GAGGCGGGTCCTATATGTTTTCGAAGACTAAACACTTTCTGGAGCTTTCCCTGGTGCACCGAGTAAGCGCTGCCTGGGCTTTGGGGCCATTTCTTCCGCCCGTGGCATCGTGTCCGAGGCTTCGGTGGACGCCTCGGACGTCCGGGTTGAGGTGTGGCCAGCAGAGAATAGCTGCTCCTTGTCCTTTGCCCCCCTCGTGACCACTCTGATGGTGGGGGACCCCTTTCCAGGCCTGCGGGGACCCCAGGGGGACACGCAGCCTGTCACCGGATTGTCACCGGCTGTGGAGGCCTCGGCAAGTGCGGCTCCGTCCGGCTGCAGAATTCTTCTCACTCTCACTGACTAGTGACCTGAAAGGACAAACCGAGGGTCGCAAACTCGTGACCTTGTTTCTTCCGCCTGCACGAGGTCTAACAGTTCTCATCTTAGTGCCTTACATGGGGACACAGGTGCTCCGGTTCGCCTCGGTGCCCGCCCCTCCCCATTGTCTCACCCCCAGCCCGCTCCCCGCATTCGCAGGTGCTGCTGGGAGCCCGAGTGTGTGAGCCCGCCCCACCCACTTAGAGGGCGGGATGCATACGTGACCTCAGTGCGCGCTGTCACGGGGCTTCGCCTGGGTTGGGTCCCGCCTCACCCCTTTGATTCTCAGGGTGCTCCCTGCAGACGTGGGGATGTTCATTCCCCTGCCAGCCCACATGTATGTCCTGGCCCTTGCCACGGGCCCCCATTGTGCGTGGGGCTGTGACTGTCACACCGAACACGACACAGGGGAGCCGTCTTCTCTCTGAGGCCAAGGAAAGGAGACTTATCAGCGTTTTGCCCCGCGTGGTGGTAGCAGCGTGATAAAGTCGTTGCTTTATCTTCATCTCGATGTTCTGACTCTTCTCCCGGTTACCGAGGGTTTAATCACAATGATCGGCCTCTTTTCCTGGAAGGTGTTGTAATCAGACAATCAGATCAACTGGGCTGGTGCAAAAAAACCCCAAAAAACAACCCCCCCCAAAAAAAACCGTGCTGTTTTGCTTTGTAAGTAAAAACCATCTAAGATGCAAGATTATTTGAAGTATAACAATCTCCAATGGTAGGCATGCTCAGGACCAATTTTAGCTGGGGACCTCCTAGCAACTGGACAAGTGAACGCAAGGCCGTTAGGCTGGTCTCAGTTTTACAACATGCGGCTTCTTCGTTTACGAGCTGCCGGGCACTCTGGGTGCTTCTCCGCCACCAGGGCCCTGGCTAATCTGCACCCAGCAGCTCCCCACGGGACTGCGCTTCTCCAGCCACTGGAAGAATCCTGACGCACCGACCAGTCTCCCACCTGTCCCCGCTGAGCGGTGCAAGTACACTGAGCAACTCCAGGGACAGCGCGCTGACTTCTCGGAGCACACAGCGTGGATGGTCAGCCGCCTTCCGATGCGAGGAACCCAGACGCAGAGTAAAAACGCATCCGGAGGGACCGTTCAGCTCACCGCTTGCTGAGTGTAATGAGGCCGAACCCTCCAAGGGCTTCCCTTCACTGTACGGTTGAACCTGCGTGTGCTCGGCTTTGCAAAGTGCTTTCCCCATCACCTCTCCTTCGCTCACGTGACGGCAGCAGCAGCCAGCGCTAGGCTACGGAAACGGCAGCTGGCACCGCCGGGTGTGTGCTGAGCGTTTCTGCGCGCCAGAGCCGTGGCCACGATTCCGGGGTCCTCATGCAGCTTGTGGGCGGGTGGGGCCCTGAGGGCCCCCAGTTTTCTCCCGACTCTCTCTCCTCTGCTCGCTCTGCCACCCTGGTGTTCTCTTCTCAAGGTACACTGATGGGTCTGAAAAGCCTTAAGGGAACAAGTCACGCTTCTGTTTGAGAAATGTAAGCGCATGAACCTCTTGCAGACTGAGCTCAGGGAATGCGCCCTGAGGCTCTTGTCGCCAGATTCCGACACTCGTGTGGGAAGAACTAAGGGAGGCTGGCCTCGGCTGCTGAGTCGGCCTCCCCTGCGCCGGCCCAGCCGGGCACAGAGCCGCGGCACGGTGGGCACAGCCGCCTTAGACCGTGGGAGCAGGAAGGGGCCTCCTGGTGAAACTCGGGGCGGGTGTGCATAGGGAGCCCCGCTGAAAGGTATTGAGGGGTCACCGCTCATGAAACGGCTGCTCCTGAGTAAGCAGGTGCTTACGGAGATGCAGCCTCACAGGCAAGGGGCTGGCGGCCACACGGTCCAGGACTGAGGGGCTTTTCCCCGCATTCCTCCATCCCGGGGAGGCCCGGGAGGCCCGCGAGTTTGTGGCCACGAGTCTCCCGGCCAAGGCGTTCCTGCTGGAGCTTGGCAAGTGGTCAGCTGGGGTTCGGTGAGATGGTGAGACGGTTCCATTAGATGGCCAGCCCCAGGTGACTAGTTAGATGGTTGTGTTAGATGGCCAGCCCCAGGTGACTAGTTAGATGGTTGTGTTAGACACTAGCACGAGGTGACTAGTTAGATGGTTGTGTTAGATGACCAGAACTAGGAGACTAGTTAGGTGCATTAGATGACTAGCGCTAAGTGATTAGTTAGACGGTTATGTTAGACACTAGCGCACAGTGATTAGACGGTTCCATTAGATGACTAATGCGTGGTGACTAGTTAGAAGGTTCCGATGGATGACTAGCACAAGGTGACTAGTTAGAAGGTTCCGTTGGATGACTAGCACAAGGTGACTAGTTAGAAGGTTCTGTTGGATGACTAGCACGAGGTGACTAGTTAGAAGGTTCCGTTGGATGACTAGCACGAGGTGCCTACCATTCAGTTTGCCTGCCTCCTGTTCTAGGCTCGGAAGGCAGGGCTAGAGGAATCATTTGCGATGGTGGTTTCCTCAGATGTTCTTGCCTTTCTCTTTGCACACCCTTCCCCATTTTTCATTTTTCATGATTGTGTGTGTGTGTGTGTGTGTGTGTGTATGCTTCTCCACGGCGGCCCGTGACCGGCCAGCCCAGGGACTACAGAGAGGGTCACCCACTGGTTGGTGCTGAATTCTGGTCCCTGGTCCAGGGCGAGGCCTCGCCTGGTCCCCAACCTGTTGCGCGCTGTGATGTTTTTGGTCCCAGGGTGACGAGCTGCAGAGTGTGGGAGTGTGGTTCGCCGAGCCGGGTCGCCACCACGAGGAAGGGGACCCCGGCAGTGAAGTGCGTTTATCAGAAGGGTGTCCTGGTGGCCCCCATCAATTCTGCTGCCCTACCCTCCTCTCCCGATGGTTAGACCTTGTCCTGCTTCTCAGGACAAAGGAGGCCCCCTCAGAAACAGAACAGCCCTGCTCATCTCTCCAAACCTCCCCCGGGTCGGGGCCTTCTGCTTGACCTCGAGGGCCAGAGCGGGGGCGTCTGCTGAGACGCTGAGTTCTCCTCCAGGTGTTCTCTGTTGGCTCAGCAGAGCAGATGTTCACGTTTCTGGGTTTCTGGCTGCCAACTCCCCCTGTCTCTCTGGAGACAGGGTGCAGTGAACTGTTTATGTATTTTAGGCTCTGCGTGGTGGTGACTGATTACCACGGTTTATAAATGCTGCAGTAAGACCTCCCGTTCTGGTCTCTCAGCATGGGAAAGAGTCGTTCACGCACTAGCCAGAGGACGGAATAGCTTCTGACCCGATGAAGGGGAGAAGGCTGGTTCGAGTCCCTGACAACGCCTGGAACTTCGTAGTGGAAGACAGGACTCTTTTAGGTCAAAACATGCGCATTGGCATGTATCTGTGAATTTGCTTGTGGTAACGGAGTTTATTAGCCTTCACTTAAAAGAATCCCCTGGTGTTTGCATATAACTTCAAAGAACCTAAAGGAGAACCACCCTCAGTACATACTTGATAGAGGGGAACCACTGTAAGTGGAAGTTTCCATGTTTCTTAAATAACCAAGGAATTGACAGGTTTTGTGGCCCGTTATCTCGAGGGTGGGAACGACTTCCAACTTCTGTGCATTTACCCTGTTTCCTCCTATCGAAGGTAATAGCTTCCTAAGGCTATTGAAGGTGCAGCTTTTCCAAGGCTCTGGGAGGTCGAGGGTGCTTTCTCCAGAAATCTGGAAAGTGTCCAGAGAAATCTGTAAATCACACTTGGGCTGGAGTGCGGGGCAGGGCACAGACAGAGCGCCCCCTGCTGTCCTCTGTGTGACTAAGACGGAAGGAGGGAGGCATACCCGGGGAGCCATTTCCCATCATCCCTCCTGTGCCCCACCAGGACCCACGTTCCCCCCAAATCTCCACGGAAGCACGTGGGCCCCCCTTTCCAGCCTTCAAGTCCTCCCAGGAACCTTCTCTGGTGCCTCTTGGTAAAGGTTATGGTTCACGCAGGCTCACCCTGGACTCAGCTAAGGACGATCTGAGCAAACAGGCAGCATTGAAAATTTTGTTTTGTAGCTTATCCTTCATGCCACTGCTTCCCACCATAAACACGGTAAATTGTTATTTTTTATTTTATTTTTTAAAAATTAAGTGTTATTCAGTAATAACAGTATATAAATTTCAGGTATAAAACTTTATAATATAGTGTCGCAGGTTCGATTCCCAGTCAGGGTACATGCCTGGGTTGCAGGCCATAACCCCCAGCAACCACACATTGATGTTTCTCTCTCTATACCTCCCTCCCTTCCCTCTCTAAAAATAAATAAATAAAATCTTAAAAAAAACTTTATAATACAACCTCTGTATACTCAATTAAACATGTTATTTTGATGGCAATTTTCATTCTCATATATTTATTCAGAAAACATTAGGCATTACCACGTGTTGGGCACGTGCATAGATTACGGTGTGTACATTACATGGAATTGTAACACATAAGGTAAGAGGTACCCACGCAGGGATTCCCCGTTTTGCTGCCAACTAGTCGAATCCCTTAGCCTCTCCGGGAAACCTGCAAAGCTAGGGGTTGGGCCGGGAATTGGGACTCCGCGGTCCTCTGCCAGACCGGTCTTGGGTGACACTCTCCCTGTCGCTGTGACGGGTCCCGCCCAGCACCACCCACACCCCCAGCTGACGCTTCCTTCTGCTTGCTTTTCAGAAACGTGAGAATCAAAACTGGAGAATGGTTCTTTGAGGAACGAGCCAAGAAATTTCCAGCTGAAGGTAAATGCTCTCAAAATCTTTACTAAATTAAAAGTGATATATTCGTAGTTTTAACATATTTGGCTTAAAGCTTTTGACTATAAACAGCTTTATAGGGCAAGGGAGACAGGTCTCCAGCTCCCGCCCACCTGGCCCACTTGCTGTCAGTTTCCCCTGCGGTTCCCACCTCCGAGGGCAGCATCCCCCACCCACCCCCCTTCCCCCGTTCCCCTGACGCCCTGCTTCTGGGAGTGATGTCTCCCGCCCCTGAGACACCAGCAGTTCCGGTCTGCACGTCCCCCCGAATCGTCGGAAGTGCCATAGATGGTGCCATTACTGCACTTCTTTCTCCTTCTGTCTGCAAGCAGCACCTGTGCTTCAAAGCCCGTCAGCCCCTCCCAGCGCCGAGCACAGCCCCTTGCTCAGAACACCTGACAGAATAATCAGTCGCCTGGGCAACCCAAGGCCACTGCACGTGGATAGTCTTAGAACTGAACAGACGCTCCCGATTATGAACAGACATGTCACGATTATGTGAGTGGAAGGGTGTGTCTGGTCTGGGGCCAGGAATGTCTCATAAAACACCCGCACCGTGGATGTGACGGTGTGACCAGTAGCTGGGACTCGAATCCGTGGAGAGAGCTAACCGTGCTGTGGCCACGGAGGTGCCGTGTCGGAGGTGTGCGCCGTGCAGATAACAGAGTAACCAGTCAGACAAAGGTGCACGCATGTGTCGCGAAAATAAAGTGGGGCCAGTGTGCTCTGTGGACCGCGTCCGTCTGTGGGGGTAACGTGGGCAGGTGCCCCCCCAGTGGTGTGTGCCCGGGGAGACTGCACTTGGGGGAGCCGGCGCCGCGCCAGAGGGAATGGGGCTGCTGGAATCGCTTCCTCCCCCACCCACCAGAAGAAGTGATGGTTCGAGGTGGAGCAGTTTATATCAACCAAAAACGTGTCGTCACGTACAGGCAGCCCTGGCTGGAGTGTGGGCGCCTGCTTGGCTTTTACAAAAGGTGCTGCCAATGGGGGTTTGCATTCAGTTGTCGCAAAATTCTCCCCTGGATTCTGTTCCTGACCCCTCCCACTCGAGACAGAAGGTGTGTCTGCCGGGTCTGCCAGAACTCTGGAGGAAAACACAGCACGCACTCCCGGGGGTGCTCGGGAGAGAGGGTGCGGCGAGTGGGGGACTCCTGCCGGCCGTCCTTCTCAGGCCTGCTCCTGCTCCGGCCCCCTGTCCCGCCCCGGCAGCCTCATCAACACTTCTCTGTTTTTACATACTGCCCGTCCAGGGGGGCCTAACCCTGCAGGTGCACGCATGCCTGCTCGGGAGCGGCGCCCCGGGGAGCGGGCCCCCGACCCTGCAAGGGCTGAGGCTCCTTCCCCCCTGCGAGGGCTCCCCAGCTGTCAGCCTGTCTAGTGCACAGTGGGGGGGCACAGCCCTGGCACCGGGGTCACCTCCCAGATCCAGATCAGGGGCGCTGTCCCGTTTCTTTAAATTGTGTTCGCTGCGGGGCTGGCGTCTTCGGGTGGCAGGTAGACCCTCATTTCTCTCACTAGGGTCTAGGTCACAAGCAATAAGGCCGTAGCGAGTGAAATTTCCGTGATTTCGTTCGGCGTTGTAGAGAAATGCCCGCCAAGTGTAACATTCCCATCACCGAGTAGTGGGTGCACGGTGTTCCTCCGTGGTGCGTGGGACATGCTCAACGCGCGTCCGCCGTTCTCACGGACGACTTCGGTCACCGAGCGTTCTGCCGTTTCTGTGGTTGTCTTTATCGCCTGTTAGTTTTTGTCCTTTTATTTATTTGTTTTTAAACCTTCATTGTCCTTTCTTTCTGTGATTTCTCAATACCAATACTGTGAAGATATCTCCTGGATGTTTTTAAAAATGCATTTTTGGAAGTTTTAGTATCATTATTTCAATTCAGTAAATTACTATGCAGGCAAGAACCTGTGTGTATGTCTGTGTACATATGTGTGCTCCCATGCACTCCATAGTGTGTGTGCTTGTGCTATGTACATGTGTGCTCTGGTGTGCACACATCCGGGTATGTGCTGTGTGTGCAAGTATATATGCTGTTAGTGTGTGCACTCCACTGTGTACGTGACATGTGCTTCTACATGTACCACATGTGTGAGTGTGCATGCATGTGCTGTGTGCACCCTTGGTCACACATGATATGTGTGTTTGTGTGTGGTGTGTGCATGCACACACATGTGCCATGTGCGTACCTGTGTGTGCCCCCCACATGTACTCTGTGCATGAATGTGGGTGTATGTGCACTCCTGTGTCTGGTACCTGTGATCCAATGTGCTGTGTGTGCACGTGTGTGCTGTGCACACTCCTATGTGTGATATGTGCTCCTGTGTGAGGTGTGTGCACACATGTGTGTGTGCTGTGTGCACTCCTGCGTATATGCACTGTGTGTGTGCGTGTGCATGCTCGCAGGCACTGGTCAGCCCTGCCCCTGCTGGCACGCATCCTCTCCTGAGTGGAAGAAGCGGCGGCCTGGGGGGCTGGCCTGAGATAAGTGGGGGGTAGAAGACAGGTGAGACCGACCTCTTCTCTTTCTCGTCCTGTGACATTCCACAAGAATGAACACATCGGTAAGAAGAACGAAATTCGAGCAGTGAAAGTCAGCTCAAACATAAATCGTTCTCTTTGTTTTCACCGTTTCTTCCCAGGGGTAAAACAAACGAACAACAAAGAAATGAACACACCCTTCCTCCTCTGCAATGTTTCTGCAGACGCCGAGGTGTCTCGTGTTCCTGCCTTTGGGTTTTGGTTGCGCTGGGCTCGGAAATAGTGGGAGATGAGGAGAAGCGGGGTCCCGGGCGGCGCTGTGAGCCACACCAGTGGGCGGCGGGGTGGGGCGGTGGGAGAGGCCGTGGGGTTGGGTGATGAAGGCTCCGCTGCACGGGGAGTGGGGCCCCCCCGACTTGCATCTGTGCCCTTCAAAGGAAACCTGGCTCAGTCCCTGGCCTGCTGAACTGAGTTGGTTGGTGGTTTGTATCGGTTGAGGGCCCGTTAGGAAAACAGAAACCGGGCGGTGACTTACACGAAGAATTCCGTTCAGGGATTGGTGAGACAGGTGTCATCAGAGGACTGGAAAGGCAAAGAGGGAGCTCGGGGCTGGTAACGGCAGGGAGCAGGCGGTGCCCGGGGCCACCGCCGGCAGGAGCGGCAGCTCCACCCGTCCTCCGCCTCCCGACTCCTGTCCCCCACCCCTGGGCCCCGAGAGGGAGCCGGCTACCACCTCGGATCTCCGCCGCCTGCTCGAACACCTGCGATCTGCGCACCACCTGGTGTTTCTGTCGGGAAGGTGTGTGTGCGGCTCTGTCCGGCCCTCCCCATCCCAAGCGGAGGCGAAAGGAAGGTAATGTTTAAGCCGCGGGGGCTTCCAGGCAGCCCACATCCGTGCTTCCTTCCTTCCGGGCGGCAGGTCCCCAGAGCCAGATTCCTCCAAATTCAACAGATTCCTCCCACACGGGGTGGCTTCAGTCAACCTTAATCTTTCACAGAGTTGCTGAGTGGCAGTCTTCAACCGACGCTGCCTGGGGTGGCGGGGGCGGCCTGGCCGGGGGCTTGAGGGCATGCCTGGCCAGTTCGTGCCGTGGGGTGGGCGGGAGGCAGGTCCCTCCACACTGGACCGCTCCTCGGAGGGGTTCTGAGCGGCCCCCACGACCCGGGGCTGGCCTCCACCCTGTGACCCTAGAGAGACAGAGACAGAGCCCTGCGGTGCCTTAAAAATTATTTTTATTGTGGTGAAATACACCTAACATTAAATTGACCATTTTAACCGTTTTTAGGTGTGCGATTCAATGGCAGTAACACTGCTGTGCGTCCGTCACCAGAACCTGTCTGTCTTCCCCAGCTGAAACTCTTGCTCCCACTGAGCAATGACCCCTCCCCCCGCCCCTCCTCCCCAAAGTCCCCGGTAACCTCTGTTCTGCCCCGTGTTTTCTGTCTCCATCAGTGTCTGTGGCAGCCTGGCTTCAGGAGTCGCCCCGCCATTGCTGCTCCATCCTGTGGTCACTCAGCAGCGCTCTGCGGGCGGGAGGGGACGGTGCAGGCGCGAATGTCAGGAGGCAAGAACCACTGATTGTATTTGTGATCAGACTATCGGTGTCTGTCTTGCTTTTATTTTTTTGAGGATTTTATTTATTTATTTTTAGAGAAAGGGGAAAGGAGGGAGAAAGAGAGGGAGAGAAACATCAATGTGTGGTTGCCTCTCGAGCGCCCCCTACTGGGGACCTGGCCCCCAACCCAGGCGTGTGCCCTGACTGGGAATCGAACCAGTGACCCTTCGGTTCGCAGGCCGGTGCTCAATCCACTGAGCCACACCAACCAGGGCTCCGGCTTGCTTTTAAAATTCAGTTTAGCATACACATTTGCCTGTGCTGTTTAGACTTCTTCCAACATATGTCGACGACAGCACAGGATACCACAGGGGGTCGTATTCAGGTTTCCACGTCACAGGTAGCTCTGTGGGAAACACCTTGGCACTTCCGTCTCTTTCCTCCGGGCAGCTTCTTAGAAGAAGCAGGTGTGGTCAAAAGTGTGAACACTTGCAAGGCTTTGACATACTTTGCCCGATCCCCTGGGAAGTGTGCCCGTCGGCACTACCCGGCGGGGTGTTGGGGCCGCCCTCTCGCCACACGCTGGCCCCAGGAAGGCCTGTCCCTTCAGACACAACTTCCGGTGACGTCTGTGATTCTGTTCTGAATGTAAAGTAGTACATACGTATTCATTAGAGAAACTGAAACATGAAGAAAAGCATTACAAGTAACGCTAAAAACACAGGGACTTCACCCCGAGGACTACTGTTGATAATTGGGTGTATGTCACTTCTGTTCTTCGGTGAATATTTGTACCTACGTTTGTGGGTGGACGTGTCCATTTTTAGGTAAAAAAATGAAGAAGAGAGGAAACTTTATGTGAGTCAAACTAGTACGTCTGCATAATCGGGATCAAATTCTATACAGAGACTTATATTCTGGTATTTCTTCACATAATAACTTATAAA